ACGTCTTAGAAAACGTCACAACGTTTCGTCAACGTTGTGACAACGTTTAAACGTTGGCAATGAGGGGAGCGTAATAGGGAAGATCCCTTGACGGAAGACATGTAGTCGAGGTTGAGGAGGACGAGCGTCGTGAGGTTGACTGAGGCCAAGTGGCTTGGCCAGGAGTTGCTGGGTGTCGCTGCTTGTCCTAGCGACCTCCCTAGCTGCTGAGAGCGAGGGAGAGAGGGTGAGGGGGGAGGGAGAGGGAACGAAGAAATAGTGTGGAAGTCAGTAGTAGAATCCTACTACTGACTTCCAGATAAGGAGAGAAGTTGATGAGAGAGAGAGAGAGAGAGAGAGAGAGAGAGAGAGAGAGAGAGAGAGAGAGAGAGAGAGAGAGAGAGAGAGAGAGAGAGAGAGAGAGAGAGAGAGAGACAGACAGACAGACAGAAAGCGACAGACAGGGACAGACAGAGAGAGAGACAGAGAGACAGAGAGAGAGAGAGAGAGACATAGAGACAAACAGAGAGACAGAGAGATAGACAGAGAGAGAGAGAGAGAGAGAGAGAGAGAGAGAGAGAGACAGAGAGAGAGAGAGAGAGACAGAGACAGACAGGGACAGACAGGGACAGACAGGGACAGACAGAGTCAGACATTTACAAGGACAAACATAGGCAATGTAGAAAGAGCCACAACTTCAGTACATTTCCAGGGCGTATTTATCAACTCCATAAACTGACTTGAATTTAGATTTCATATAAATAGGAGCTGCCTCGTATGGACCAATAGGAGCTGCCTCGTATGGACCAATAGGAGCTGCCTCGTATGGACCAATAGGAGCTGCCTAGTATGGACCAATAGGAGCTGCCTCGTATGGACCAATAGCAGCTGCCTCGTATGGACCAATAGGAGCTGCCTCGTATGGACCAATAGGAGCTGCCTAGTATGGACCAATAGGAGCTGCCTAGTATGGACCAATAGGAGCTGCCTAGTATGGACCAATAGGAGCTGCCTCGTATGGACCAATACCAATAGGAGTTGTATGGACCAATAGGAGCTGCCTCGTATGGACCAATAGGAGCTGCCTCGTATGGACCAATAGGAGCTGCCTCGTATGGACCAATAGGAGCTGCCTCGTATGGACCAATAGGAGCAGCCTCGTATGGACCAATAGGAGCTGCCTCGTATGGACCAATAGGAGCTGCCTCGTATGGAACAATAGGAGCTGCCTCGTATGGACCAATAGGAGCTGCCTCGTATGGACCAATAGGAGCTGCCTCGTATGGGCCAATAGGAGCTGCCTCGTATGGACCAATAGCAGCTGCCTCGTATGGATCAATAGGAGCTGCCTCGTATGGACCAATAGGAGCTGCCTAGTATGGACCAATAGGAGCTGCCTCGTATGGACCAATAGGAGCTGCCTAGTATGGACCAATAGGAGCTGCCTCGTATGGACCAATAGGAGCTGCCTAGTATGGACCAATAGGAGCTGCCTCGTATGGACCAATAGGAGCTGCCTCGTATGGACCAATAGGAGCTGCCTCGTATGGACCAATAGGAGCTGCCTAGTATGGACCAATAGGAGCTGCCTCGTATGGACCAATAGGAGCTGCCTCGTATCGGCCAATAGGAGCTGCCTCGTATGGACCAATAGCAGCTGCCTCGTATGGATCAATAGGAGCTGCCTCGTATGGACCAATAGGAGCTGCCTCGTATGGACCAATAGGAGCTGCCTCGTATGGACCAATAGGAGCTGCCTCGTATGGATCAATAGGAGCTGCCTCGTATGGACCAATAGGAGCTGCCTCGTATGGACCAATAGGAGCTGCCTCGTATGGACCAATAGGAGCTGCCTAGTATGGACCAATAGGAGCTGCCTCGTATGGACCAATAGGAGCTGCCTCGTATCGGCCAATAGGAGCTGCCTCGTATGGACCAATAGCAGCTGCCTCGTATGGATCAATAGGAGCTGCCTCGTATGGACCAATAGGAGCTGCCTCGTATGGACCAATAGGAGCTGCCTCGTATGGACCAATAGGAGCTGCCTCGTATGGACCAATAGGAGCTGCCTCGTATGGATCAATAGGAGCTGCCTCGTATGGACCAATAGCAGCTGCCTCGTATGAACCAATAGGAGCTGCCTCGTTTGGACCAATAGGAGCTGCCTCGTATGGACCAATAGGAGCTGCCTCGTATGGACCAATAGGAGCTGCCTCGTATGGACCAATAGGAGCTGCCTCGTATGGACCAATAGCAGCTGCCTCGTATGGACCAATAGGAGCTGCCTCGTTTGGACCAATAGGAGCTGCCTCGTATGGACCAATAGGAGCTGCCTCGTATGGACCAATAGCAGCTGCCTCGTATGGACCAATAGGAGCTGCCTCGTATGGACCAATAGGTGCTGCCTCGTTTGGACCAATAGGAGCTGCCTCGTATGGACCAATAGGAGCTGCCTCGTATGGACCAATAGCAGCTGCCTCGTATGGACCAATAGGAGATGCCTCGTATGGACCAATAGGAGCTGCCTCGTATGGACCAATAGGAGCTGCCTCGTATGGACCAATAGCAGCTGCCTCGTATGGACCAATAGCAGCTGCCTCGTGTGGACCAATAGGAGCTGCCTCGTATGGACCAATAGCAGCTGTCTCGTATGGACCAATAGCAGCTGCCTCGTATAGACCAATAACAGATGCCTCGTATGAACCAATAGGAGCTGCCTCGTATGGACCAATAGGAGCTGCTTCATATGGACCAATAGGAGCTGCCTCGTATGGACCAATAGCAGCTACCTCGTATGGACCAATAGGAGCTGCCTCGTATGGACCAATAGGAGCTGCCTCGTATGGACCAATAGGAGCTGCCTCGTATGGACCAATAGGAGCTGCCTCGTATGGACCAATAGGAGCTGCCTCGTATGGACCAATAGGAGCTGCCTCGTATGGACCAATAGGAGCTGCCTCGTATGGACCAATAGGAGCTGCCTCGTATGGACCAATAGCAGCTGCCTCGTATGGACCAATAGGAGCTGCCTCGTATGGACCAATAGGAGCTGCCTCGTATGGACCAATAGGAGCTGCCTAGTATGGACCAATAGGAGCTGCCTCGTATGGACCAATAGGAGCTGCCTCGTATCGGCCAATAGGAGCTGCCTCGTATGGACCAATAGCAGCTGCCTCGTATGGATCAATAGGAGCTGCCTCGTATGGACCAATAGGAGCTGCCTCGTATGGACCAATAGGAGCTGCCTCGTATGGACCAATAGGAGCTGCCTCGTATGGACCAATAGGAGCTGCCTCGTATGAACCAATAGGAGCTGCCTCGTATGGACCAATAGGAGCTGCCTCGTATGGACCAATAGGAGCTGCCTCGTATGGACCAATAGGAGCTGCCTCGTTTGGACCAATAGGAGCTGCCTCGTATGGACCAATAGCAGCTGCCTCGTATGGACCAATAGCAGCTGCCTCGTATGGACCAATAACAGATGCCTCGTATGAACCAATATTAGCTGCCTCGTATGGACCAATAGGAGCTGCTTCATATGGACCAATAGGAGCTGCCTCGTATGGACCAATAGGAGCTGCCTCGTATGGACCAATAGGAGCTGCCTCGTATGGACCAATAGGAGCTGCCTCGTATGGACCAATAGGAGCTGCCTCGTATGGACCAATAGGAGCTGCCTCGTATGGACCAATAGCAGCACAGCCTAGGTGTAATATTATACGAATCCAGATTCCCACTAACACATCTCTGAGTGAGAGAATTTACATGTACACCCTTGTACTTTACCTGACTTACAAGGTAAGTAAGACTTGCCACTTACAAGGTTACAGTACAGCACACAGCCACTTACACCAGCTACGCTCCTGCGTGTCTTAACATGTATAGATCCATACACACTCAAAGAATACATGAAGGCTCTTCCTTCCTACACATATGTATAATAATCATCTATAATACTAGATATAATACAGCTTAGCATCTTTATTTCATCTTTAATTGATAATTTATTTCTTTAATTGTATAGAAAGTTACGAGTCCGTTATTCTTTCAACTGGACATAACGGGTTCATAACTGAGACGCAGACAGACAGACAGGGAGACAGACAGACAGACAGACAGACAGACAGACAGACAGACAGACAGACAGACAGACAGACAGACAGGGAGACACAGACAGACAGGGAGACAGACAGACAGACAGACAGACAGACAGACAGGGAGACACAGACAGACAGGCAGACAGGGAGACACAGACAGACAGGGAGACAGACAGACAGACAGACAGACAGACAGACAGACAGACAGACAGACAGACAGACAGACAGACAGACAGACAGACAGACAGACAGACAGACAGACAGACAGACAGACAGACAGACAGTCAGACAGACAGACAGACAGGGAGACACAGACAGACAGGCGAAACCTGTACACCCCAGCACAGAACCCTCACGTATTTCAGAACTCATTAAACCTTACTTCCCACCCGCTAATAATTCTCACAGTGAGATCAGACCTGCAGGGGGGGGGGGAGAGAGAGAGAGAGAGAGAGTGAGAGAGAGAGAGAGAGAGAGAGAGAGAGAGAGAGAGAGAGAGAGAGAGAGAGAGAGAGAGAGAGAGAGAGAGAGAGAGAGAGAGAGAGAGAGAGAGAGAGAGAGAGAGAGAGAGAGAGAGAGAGAGAGAGAGAGAGAGAGAGAGAGAGAGAGAGTTGAACACATTTAGCTGAAAAGTTGAACACTAGAGCCAGCGTGGAAGAGACAAACTGGTACACACTAGAGGCATCCTGGTACATACTACATATAACCTCGAACAAGTGTCATAAAAATCCCTCCCTTTCCCCCCCCCCCCCCCTACCTGTCTCAGAACGCCAGAGACTCCTGTATTTGACTTCCCAGTCTCCTATGCCCAGCTCTGTGAAACATTAAACGCTGGGAATTTGCACATTTGCGCCATCTTTCGTTCACTCAATTGTGCGTTCACGTCGCGAGGGGCGTTAAGTTTGCTGGTGTTCATTAAGTTAAATGAGCGATATATGTAATGAACAAATGAACCCCGTTGAACCCGGTGTGTTTATGATGCAGGTTAATGAGGAGGTTAATGTTCTGTGTCTCGTTGGAGGGTCGTCGTTCAGGGCGGATGGTCAATGTGGCCACCTGCGACCCGGGGGCCAGCTGGGACGCCCGGGGTCAGCTGGGACGCTCCGGGCCAGCTGGGACGCCGGGGGCCAGCTGGGACGCCCCGGGCCAGGTGGGACGCCCGGGGCCAGCTGGGACGCCAGGGGCCAACTGGGACGTCACCACCTGCGCCCCGGGCGAGCTGGGACGCCTGGGGGCCAGCTGGGACGCCCGGGGCCAGCTGGGACGTCCGGGGCCAGCTGGGACGCCCGGGGCCAGCAGGGACGCCAGGGGCCAGCTGGGACGTCACCATTTGCGCCCCGGGCGAGCTGGGACGCCTGGGGGCCAGCTGGGACGCCCGGGGCCAGCTGGGACGCCCCAGGCCAGCTAAGACGCCGGGGGCCAGCTGGGACGCACGGGGCCAGCTGGGACGCCCCAGGCCAGCTAAGACGCCGGGGGCCAGCTGGGACGACCGTGGCCAGCTGGGACGCCTCGGGCCAGCTGGGACGCCCGGGCCAGCTGGGACGCCCGGGCCAGCTGGTGGAGCAACACACCACAGTCAGGAGCCAGCTGCACTGCTCAAGCGGGACCGATGAAGGGCGTCCGGCCCCGGTCGAATATGTTAATCCCGGGGACTGGACCATGTCCCAGGAGAGTGGTAATCCCGGGGACTGGACCATGTCCCAGGAGAGTGGTAATCCCGGGGACTGGACCATGTCCCAGGAGAGTGGTAATCCCGGTGACTGGACCATGTCCCCGGAGAGTGGTAATCCCGGGGACTGGACCATGTCCCAGGAGAGTGGTAATCCCGGGGACTGGACCATGTCCCAGGAGAGTGGTAATCCCGGGGACTGGACCATGTCCCAGGAGAGTGGTAATCCCGGTGACTGGACCATGTCCCCGGAGAGTGGTAATCCCGGGGACTGGACCATGTCCCAGGAGAGTGGTAATCCCGGGGACTGGACCATGTCCCCGGAGAGTGGTAATCCCGGGGACTGGACCATGTCCCAGGAGAGTGGTAATCCCGGTGACTGGACCATGTCCCAGGAGAGTGGTAATCCCGGTGACTGGACCATGTCCCAGGAGAGTGGTAATCCCGGTGACTGGACCATGTCCCAGGAGAGTGGTAATCCCGGTGACTGGACCATGTCCCAGGAGAGTGGTAATCCCGGGGACTGGACCATGTCCCAGGAGAGTGGTAATCCCGGTGACTGGACCATGTCCCAGGAGAGTGGTAATCCCGGTGACTGGACCATGTCCCAGGAGAGTGGTAATCCCGGTGACTGGACCATGTCCCAGGAGAGTGGTAATCCCGGTGACTGGACCATGTCCCAGGAGAGTGGTAATCCCGGGGACTGGACCATGTCCCAGGAGAGTGGTAATCCCGGTGACTGGACCAGCCTTTTATGCGGTACTGTGTCAAAGGCTTTCCCACAGTCCTAAAAAATGCAGTCCGCCCATCCTTCTCTTTCTTGCTTAATCTTTGTCACCTGATCGTAGAATTCTATCAAGCCTGTAAGGCAAGATTTACCCTCCCTGAACCCATGTTGGCGATTTGTCACGAAGTCCCTTCTCTCCAGATGTGTTACCAGGTTTTTTCTCACGATCTTCTCCATCACCTTGCATGGTATACAAGTCAAGGACACTGGCCTGTAGTTCAGTGCCTCTTGCCTGTCGCCCTTTTTGTATATTGGGACCACATTCGCCGTCTTCCATATTTCTGGTAGGTCTCCCGTCTCCAGTGACCTACTATACACTATGGAGAGTGGCAAGCAAAGTGCCTCTGCACACTCTTTCAATACCCATGGTGAGATTCCGTCTGGACCAACAGCTTTTCTAACATCCAGACCCAACAGATGCCTCTTGACCTCATCTCTTGTAATTTCGAATCCTTCCAAGGCTGCCTGGTTTACTGCCACCTCTCCTAGTTCAGCAACTTCACCTCGTTCCATTGTGAAGACGTCCTGGAATCTTTTGCTGAGTTTTTACACACCTCTTTATCATTCTTTGTATATCGGTCCTCACCCGTTCTCAGTTTCATCTCCTGCTCTTTCTTTGTCGCTTGACTCCTTTCGAGCTGTTTTGATTGGGTCATGGCTTTATTGCTGTGTAATGTTCACACTGTCTCTCTGCTTCTCTTCTCACACCGAGGTATTCATTCCTGGGGCATGTTTTAGCTGCTAAAGAAAACAGATTTGAGATTAAATGCCTATGGATACCATCACATGTTGGCATCTCAAGGCATGACACTGTTGATATGCTTGCTAAGTCAGCCTGCAGAAAACCAGTGGTAGAAATTGATATGGGTGTTTCACTAGCAGTGACAAAGAGAATACTTAAACAAATATCTAATGAAGATCTCACCGACCTAACAAATTCTCAAAGACCTGAAAGTTGTAGCATTAAATATTATGATAGATATCGTGAGGAGACATTCACATATGGGACTAATAGAACAAGAACCCGGCAATGTGATGTTATAGTGGCCAGAATACGCCTGGGACATAAATGTATCTGGCAGCTTTCTCAAAACCCAAATGTCGAGTACACAATGTGTCAACTTTGTGAAAGAGAAAACATGCACTCTCTTGAACATTATATTGTAGAATGTCCCATAATGACTGACTTTCGCCCTCCTGGGCTAAGGTATGCTGAACTGTGTAATTACTATATGAGTACTGGAACACTTGATGATATATTGGACTTGAATCCAAGATTGACCATGTAATATATCAATTATACAATGTATATAAATATGATGTAACTATATAACCTGAGCTTATAAAAGCACCTTCATCACCTTCAGTGATTAAGTGCTTAATTGCACACTAGTTTCTTTATCAGCTATCTCACCCTGTCAGAGTAAATGAGACAAATGTATGTAAATGCATGTGTGTGTGTATATATGGATGTATATGTGTGTGTGTGTGTGTGTATATATATGGGTATAAAGTATATATGGAAGCTGATCAGAATTACATTTCACCTTTGTGAATGTACATTAATGACACTATGTAAAAGACACATCAAACACTTTATGTAGGGCATACATAAATCTGTGTATCTATGTATTTACGTATGTAGGTTAGCTTAGCATTTTAAAAGCGCCGAATCACCGTCTGTGGTTCAGTGTTCAATAAACCCTTGAACTATATGTTTAACACTTCTCTAACCCTGTCCATGGAGGACAGAAGAAAATGTATATATGCTGGTTAGCATTGTAAATGTGTGGCCATGAATGTGGTAGAAAAAAAAAAATCCTGGGGCCAGATTCCCGAAGCAGTTACGCAAGCATTTACGAACATGTACATCTTTCCAGAATTTTTGACGGCTTTGGTTACATTTATTAAACAGTTTACAAGCATGAAAACTTGCCAATCAACTGTTGGTATAGTTATAAACAGCCTCCTGGTGCTTCAGAGCTCATTAACTCTTTAATAATTGTAAACAAAACCGCCAAAGATGGAAAAAAAATGTACAAGTTCGTAACTGCTTCGTGAATCCGGCCCCCAGGCCCTCTGGTATCTCTCCCTGTAGAGACACCAGAGCTCTGTTATTTAGAGCTCTGTAGAGCTCTGTTATTTACGCAGTTCTTCCTCGCCTTTGTATTTCATTGATGAGCTTCCTCGCATGCCCGATTACACCACGGACTCCTCTTTTCCTTCTCATCTCTTTCCTTTATGGCCTGGATAAACTGGTTATCTGTTTCCCGATATCTTCTGTTTGCCACGGTATTTCTGTTTAGAATTGTCTAATCTTCTCATAATTTTCCTTTCCTTTCTAGTTCTCATTTTGGGAAGATTACTCCTTAATCTTTCAAGGTACTCAAAGATCAATACACTGTGATCACTCATTCCCAAGAGGGCTTCCAACTTAACTTTCCTTGTATCCGACTCATTTAGGGTGAGCATCAGATCAAGCAAGGCTGGTTCATCCTCTCCTCTCATTCTTGTCGGTCCCTTGACGTGTTCATTTAGAAAGTTTCTTGTTGCCACGTCCAGTACTTTAGTGTGTATTCACCTAGTTGTATTCACCTAGTTGTGTTTGCGGGGGTTGAGCTTTGCTCTTTAGGCCCTCCTCTCAAATGTCAATCAACTGTTTACTAACTACTATTTATTTTCCACACCACACACACACGTGAGGAAGCAGCCCGTGACAGCTGACTAACTCCGCAGGTACCTATTTACTGCTAAGTAACAGGGGCATCAGGGTGAAAGAAACTCTGCCCATTGTTTCTCGCCGGCGCCGGGAATCGAACCCGGGACCACAGGATCACGCATCCAGCCTGCTGTTCAGTCAGCCACCGGCCCCTGTATGTTGAGTGTGTGTACTCATCTAGTTGTACTCACCTAGTTGTGTCTGCAGGATCGAGCATTGACTCTTGGATCCCGCCTTTCCAGCCATCGGTTGTTTACAGCAATGACTCCTGTCCCATTTTCCTATCATACCTGGTTTTAAAATTATAAATAGTATTTGCTTCCACAACCTGTTCCTGAAGTGCATTCCATTTTTCTACTACTCTCACGCTAAAAGAAAACTTCCTAACATCTCCGTGACTCATCTGAGTTTCCAGCTTCCACCCATGTCCCCTCGTTCTGTTACTATTACGTGTGAACATTTCGTCTATGTCCAATCTGTCAATCCCCCTGAGTATTTTATACGGTCCTATCATGTCCCCCTTCTCCCTTCTTTCTAGTGTCATAAGGCACAGTTCCCTCAGGCGCTCCTCATACCCCATCCCTCGTAGCTCTGGGACGAGTCTCGTTGCAAACCTCTGAACCTTTTCCAGTTTCTTTATATGCTTCTTCAGATGGGGACTCCATGATGAGGCGGCATACTCTAAGACTGGCCTCACGTAGGCAGTGTAAAGCGCCCTAAATGCCTCCTTACTTAGGTTTCTGAATGATCTAACTTTTGCCAGTGTAGAGTACGCTGCTGTCGTTATCCTATTTATATGTGCCTCAGGAGATAGATTAGGTGTTACGTCTACCCCCAGGTCTCTTTCGCGCGTCGTCACAGGTAGGCTGTTCCCCTTCATTGTGTACTGTCCCTTTGGTCTCCTATCTCCTAGTCCCATTTCCATAACTTTACATTTGCTCGTGTTGAATTCCAGTAGCCATTTCTCTGACCATCTCTGCAACCTGTTCAGGTCCTCTTGGAGGATCCTGCAATCCTCATCTGTCACAACTCTTCTCATCAACTTTGCGTCATCTGCAAACATCGACATGTAGGACTCTACTCCTGTAAACATGTCGTTAACATATACTAGAAATAGAATTGGTCCCAGCACCGATCCTTGTGGTACTCCACTCGTTACTGTTCGCCAGTCCGACTTCTCGCCCCTTACCGTAACTCTTTGGCTCGTTCCTGTTAGGTAGTTCCTTACCCATGCTAGGGCCTTTCCCCCCCACCCCCGCCTGCCTCTCGAGTTTGAACAGCAGTCTCATGTGCGGTACTGTATCAAAGGCTTTTTGGCAGTCCAGAAATATGCAGTCTGCCCAACCATCTCTGTCCTGTCTTATCCTTGTTATTTTATCATAGAATTCCTAAAGGTTTGTTAGGCACGATTTCCCCCTTCAGAACCCATGTTGATGTTTGTTCACAAACCTAACGTTCTCCAGGTGTGCAACCAGTCGTAGCCTAATTATTCTTTCCAGTATTTTACAGGGGATGCTTGTCAGTGATACAGGTCTATAGTTAAGTGCCTCCTCTCTATCGCCTTTCTTGAAGATCGGTACGACATTTGCCTTCTTCCAGCAACTGGACAGTTCTCCTGACATAAGTGACTCATTAAAGATCATTGCCAGAGGCACGCTGAGGGCCTGCGTTGCCTCTTTTAGTATCCACGGTGATACTTTGTCTGGTCCAACTGCTTTAGTTGCATCCAGTGTTGTCAACTGTTTCATTACCTCCTCTGCTGTCACCTCTATATCTGATAGTCTTTCATCTAGGGTAACCCCTTCCAACAATGGGAGCTGCTCAGGCTCGGTAGTGAACACTCCATGGAAACTGGCATTCAGTGCCTCGCAGATTTCCTTGTCACTTTCAGTATATGCCCCCTCTGTCTTCCTTAGTCTTGTCACTTGGTCGTTCACCGACATTTTTCTTCTTATATGACTGTGTAGTAACTTAGGTTGTTTTTTCGCTTTGATCACAATATCGTTCTCATAGTTCCTTTCCGATGTTCGTCTTATGTTAATGTAATCGTTCCTAGCTCTGTTGTATCTGATCCTGTTGTCCTCCTGTGTGTGTGTGTGTGTGTGTGTGTGTGTGTGTGTGTGTGTGTGTGTGTGTGTGTGTGTGTGTGTGTGTGTGTGTGTGTGTGTGTGTGTGTGTGTGTGTGTGTGTGTGTGTGTGTGTGTGTGTGTGTGTGTGTGTGTGTGTGTATCTACAGTTGTGCTTGCGGGGGTTGAGCTCTGGTTCTTTGGTCCCGCCTCTCAACT